GGGGGAGGAGGAGTGGCATAGTGCCGTATGCAGAGTGGCAGCAATGAAGGGCAGTGGGTGGTGGTGGCCACCCACCATCCTGTGCTGGAGGGGGGGCAAGGCATAGGACCGGATGCAGGGGTGGGGTGTTGTGGAGCTGGATGCAGACCAGGGGTGGGTAGTCTGTAGCCAGATGCAGTGGCAGCAGTGCAGGGTGGTGGGTGGCATCAGCCACCCACTGCCCCATGCTGGGGAGGGGGCACACGGGGCAGGGCTGGGGCGTGGGGCTAGACACGGAGTGCAGGGAGTGGTGTGCGGCTGGATGCAGAGCAGTAGCAGCGTGGGCTAGTGGATGGTGGCAGTAGCCACCATGTGCAAGCTTCTCCTTCTCCCCCTGCTCCTGGGAGGTGGCAGAAGTGGCATGGGGTGGTGGTGCACTGCGCTCCGTCACACCTGCCCTTCCCCCACTGTCATCTTGAGGGAATTTGCTAGTAAATAAAATATATCTGCTCAGGCACCAGCACAAATTCCATGATGAATTGGTCACCATCAGTCCAAAACCTATAATCTTTCCATGGCCTGTTCATGCTTATGCCTCCAAAAAACAAATGTATAATATATATCCTAACTGCATAAGGTAGGAATGCAAACTAAAGGTATCTCCATATGTGCTCTAAAATATATCTCACCTACACTTTTTTCTAATGTTAGCGCCTAAAATAATTTAAATTATGACAGCTCAATGTAGTCTTACTTTAGATAGACCATCTCCTACACTAAAGTGCATAGCATGGAAGCATGTTTGTATAATGCTGTTATACCCCATATTCTTCATAAAAATAAGATGTGTAACATGTGAGGCTTATGTTGCATTGAATTTGAATATAAATACTTCATTTAAGTGGGGATTTGATAATAATTGTTCCTGGCATAACGTAAGTTGAATGTATAATGCGTTACAAATTTGCAATATGTTATAAAAAATAATTCTTTGCCTTGCAGTATTTTCTTCTAAGTATATTTAGAAATTGAGAGTCTTATTCTTCAGATAAATTGGGAATAAGTATATTAAAGTTGATGTATGCAAACTCAGAATTATGCACTGGCTGCATTTCTTTTTAGCTCATTCTAGTAAACTGTACCAACACTCCAACAGCAGCAGAGATTCTATGTCAGATTCTTCAGCCTGCCAGGAACGTTGTGTTCAACAGGAGGGAGAGATGAAGGGAGAAAAAGCATTATCTCATGATGGAAAGTCTACATAATATTATTAAAAATTCTTATCTATTATAAATGAAATAATTGAATGTAGGTTACTAATGCCATATCCACTAGTCTGATGTTTGATCATTACTCAATTCCTTTGAAGAAAGAAAGCTTTTTACTTCTTCGGTGGCTCTGAGGCTTACAATATAGCATCATTTGCATTGAATGTGGTGCTTATATAATTCAAAAAGTTTATTTTGTCAGCGTTAAAAAAGACCATTCACAAGAAAAGTAACAGAAAATGACACGCTGTTCCTGAAGACATCAACCCACATGTATACTGTTACCATCTCTTTTTCCAAGCAGCAGTGTTTTTATTTTTGGCTGTGCTGAGGATGCAACTGAAATGTAAAATGAGGGAGTATTAAATCAGTGTTAAATATTTTATAGCTTAACTCACTGCAGCATCATTCTTGGTTGGAAGGGAAAGTGAATTGTTTTACAATCATTTATGTTCAAAGAGCTTCCCTGCATAAAAGGGATAAAAAACAAAGGTTTAAATACTGCCCTAAGGAAAGGAGATTGAATATGGTATTGGCTCTGACAGTACTTCATAAATTATCATAATCTTTATGCACAGCTAAAAATGTTCTCTGATGCAGCCTGAAGTGTATGGGGGCCAGGTACTGTACACATTCATGCATATTTGTGTTTGTAATTCTCCATGATCATTTGATTTATAGTTGCTGAGGAATGGCACAACCTTGGAGGGGAGGCCTGGCAGCTGATAGAACCTGTCGACGGATTCCATCCTAGTCAGGTACAAAAAGAACGAGGGGTGGGGGGAGAACTGATCACAATTGTCTGCTATGAAAGGATGAGCAAAAGGATAAGGACTTACTGGTAACTGATGTTCTTTGAGATGTGTTGTCCACACGCACATTTTCACATGCAAGCATGCTCAGCTACTGAACCATTGAGCAGAACATTTCTTATCTTAGGAGTCCCCATGCTGAGTGTCTCATCCTCCCCTCTGTCTTCCTTCTTGGACTGAGGGGGAAAAGGCAGCACTCATGTCCCTGCTCCTCAGTTTCCTCTGTTGCAGAGTTTGGAGGCAGACTCCAAAGAGGAGAAAGGAGTTTGGGAACTGACTCTGTGTGTGGACAACATATGTCAAAGAATTCCAGATTCTGGGAAGTAATTTGTTTTTCTCCTTTCAGGAGTTATCCACACAGACTTTCATATTTTGGTAAACCCTAAGGGAGGGAGGATTTGGAGTTTTTTAAGCAAAAATCAAGTGGAGTACCGTTTTACCAAATCTGGGCCACTTAGTGCTTCAGTACTGTAGCAAAGGGGGTGGGGGAGAGCAGAGCAACTGCCCTGGGCATCAAAGCAAACGGGAGCCAACAGATGAGTTGTGAACCAATATGTTGTTATAATGTGGCTGATAAATGCCACACGCATGCGCGCAGCCACAGTATGCACACAGCCAGCCCAGCAGCTTGGAGAGCACCATCTGGCTGGTGAGCTTGTTGTGGGGGAGAAGGGGAGGAGGATGGAAGGGGTGTGTGAAGTGCAGATGGAAGCCCTTCCCCCCCCCGGTGAGGGAGGAGGGGGGCTGGGACTGGGGCAGGTGATGTCCAGCCAGGGTGCAGGATGGAGCCATGAGTGGCTTGTCTGGGGGAGGCCTGGGGAAGGCAGGGCAGCTCCCGCCACTTTGTGCACCCCAGGGCAAGCATGGGAGGGTGCGTGCCCCCCAGATCTGTGCACGGGACAAGGGCGGGCTGCCACTGCAGATGTGGCTTTGTGGAGTCCTTACTTCTATGTGTCAGAATGTTCCTGACAGAGAAGGAACACAAGCTTTTTTAGCTGCAAGAACCCAACATCCAAGCAATCAAATGAAGCAGGTGCAAGTCTGAGTGAAGCACTCCACCATTGTCCTGAGAGAGTAAGTAGGTGAACAAAAGCAGAGGGATGCAATTTGACTCTGATAAGCATAGAACAGTGGTCACCAACCAGTTGATCATGATCAACTGGTCAATTGGGGATCCTTTGACAGCTGATTTCAGTCTGAGGGGAGCTCAGTCCCCCCACACTGAGATCCAACTGTCAGAGGATCCATGATCAGAAGCGGCGGGATGCACATGGAGAGCAGCAGGACTCATGTGTCTGGGCTTAGCCACACCTCTTGCTGCTGGGGCTGGGCCGGGGGAGTGGAACAATCCCCCTCTGGGTGAGTGGGGCCCCAGCTGGGCAGGATCAGAGCCTGGGTGGCTCATCCAGGCTTGTGGCGCGGGGGGGTTCCTGCTGCTGCACACATCCCAGTGGAGGCCTGGGGGGCACGTGCCCCCCGATCTATGGGCAGGGCGAGGTGGCTGCCGCTGCATGGTGCACTTTGTGCCCAGCTGCTGCAGTAGGGCTCGGGCACAAAGGCCAGTGCACAGCAGCAGCTGCCTTGCCCTGGGCTTTTGCCCTGAGCCCGCCCCCCCCAGATCTGTGCACAGGGTGAGGCAGCTGCTGCTGTGTATGGCTACAGCAGCGCTTGGAGCACAAAACCCAGCATGCAGTGGTAGCTGCCTTGCCCCATGCACAGATCAGGGGGCACATGCCCCCTGGGCCTCTGCCGGGGTGTGTGCAATGGTGAGAGCCCCCCCTCATGCCTGGATGAGCTTTAATCTGCCTCTCCCCCACCCCGACAACTGACCTGCTGGGCGGGGGGTTGAGGGGAAGCAGGGCACAGTAGATTCTGGGTTGCCCTTTCCTTCAAAAAATGATCTTCACCTTAAAAAGTTTGGAGACCCCTGCCATAGAAGGTCCTGGTCCTATCATGATGACCCCTGACCTATCTTGCTGTACCTTCATGATGACCTGCAAAATTAATGGTTCTTTAAGGGGGGAAGAGGAGGGTGGGAAGACATGCAATAGACCTTTGCATTATGTTATCAGAAAAGTAGTGAAAAGAGCTTGAACTGAGGCTTTTCCTGGAACAGAAGAACTGGGACTTCCTGTTTTGCTCCATCATAAATAAATCTATTTTCTGAAATCCCCAGAGCAGGAACAATTAAGAAATAGCTGAGTCCTTGATCTACTTGTGATAGATCAACATAACCCTACTCAGACATCCATTACTTTGTTGTGGAGACTATGCAGGTGTACCCTGAAAAGGTGGACATGGTGGCAAATACAACAACAACACAACTAGAAGCTTCCTGGATGATAGAGAGGACTGTGAGAAATTGGAATGGCGAGACTAGATAAGGGTTACTCACAGTGTCAGTACAGGATGCCATATTGCAGTGATGCCAGCAGTTGTAGAGATGAGGAAGAATCTGGTGCTTGAAGGACACAGTGGTAGAGGTGCCAGAGTTGAAGCTGAGATGATCCCAACTGAATTTAGTTGCTACACAGGATTCTGCATGGGTTAGTGCTGGGCCTGGTGCCACATGTCAGAATGTGTGAAATACAAAGATAATGATTTAGAGAAAAACTTCTTCCACTTTTAGGCAGGGGAGGTCTTGGGCAGTGTCATGGAGCTTGGATCAGTGAGCACAGACATGGCCAGTAAATTGTTCCATCAGAGTCTGTAGATCAGTGGTCTCCAACCTTTTTAAGGTAAAGATCACTTTTGAAGGAAAGAGCAACCTAGGATCTACTACACCCCCTGCTCCCCTTGCCCAGCTGGTCAGTCGTGGGGAGGGAGGAAGAGGCAGATTAAGTTGTACTGGGGCCCTGGGCAAGCACAAAATTGGAGGCCCCATCCCCCCCCCCCATGGGAGCTGGGTTGCAGGGGGGAAAGGGGACCTTCCCCTCCTAGTGCTGGCGGGGGAGACTGGGTGGACCCTGCCAGGTTGGGGAGTACATGCCTGCCTCTTCTCCCTGCCCCTGCTACAGCCAAATGTACACATGCACTCTACTTTCACTCTGCACAAGGACACATGGAAATCTTCAAGAGGAGACTGGATAGGCATCTGGCTGGGGTCTTATGACCCCTCCCACCCCCAGTGCTCCTTCCTGTCCATGGCAGGGGGTCGGACTAGATGATCTGTCTAGGTTCCTTCCGACTCATTGATTCTATGATTC